GACTTGGAGCTCCCTCGGCTGACTGTAAATATTGTAAATAAGCATGAATGTTTTTTTTTCTTATTTATTTTAATTTTATTTTTTAATTTGTGTTGTATCATATTTTATTTCATCTGTTTTACTAAGCTTTCTTTTTCTTATTTTTTTTTTATAATTTCTATTATTTTTGTAATTGTATATATTGTACGAATGAGTTTCTTGTATCTCAAGTACTCAATGCCTTGATTGAGGCAAAATGTATTTTTTCTCAATAAAAAAATAATAATAATAATGAAGATATATATATTATCAGTCTATATGTAAAATCCTTATTCACCAACATACTGATGGATGATTGCATAAAAATATTATAAGGTAATTGGGATAAAATCAGGGATAACACCGAAATCAAAGATAAAAACATTCGTAGATGGGATGATATTATGCTCAAAATATAGTTATTTTAAATATAGCCTTAAATATATAAAGTGTAGCTTAGTGGAAAAAGTTTGGACAATTCAGGCATCGTCAGAACAGAAAAGAAATGCTAATTGAACACCACTCCATGAAATCCAATCGCATACTATACAATGAGTACAATTATTTTTATATTTAAAATAACTATATTTTGTGCATAATATCATCCCATCTATGAATGTTATGCAGGTATGAACCATAGGACACGGGTCTCCAAACTTTTTGGACAGTGGTCCAAATTGAGACCTCGACTAAGTTCCACTTTATATATTTAAGGCTATATTTAAAATAACTATATTTTGTGCATAATATCATCCCATCTATGAATGTTTTTTATCTTTGATTTCGGTGTTATCCATGATTTTATCCCAATTACCTTCTAATATTTTTATGCAATCATTCACCAATATGTTGATGAATAAAGATTTTACATATACACTGGTTTTATATATATATATATATATATATATATATATATATATATATATATATACATTATTTTTTATGTTTAACTTATAAATTTTTTCTTTGAGTTCTGATGCATTCTTTATATTAAAATCATTATTTTCATTGTGTTCATTGAGTGCCGAGTTAAAAAGTTAGATAATGCTTCTGTTAAGCCCAGAATTATATTTTAATTTTTATATTAAGACATTAGCAGCAACAGAATATTCAATTATCATTCTAACCACCAAAAATACCAAAAAATAAATATAGCTAATAATTTAATCAATAGAGCACTAAAAATTACAAACCCACAACACCTCCAATATGTTAAACTGAAAATATATAAAATACTAATAGAAAAAGGTTACCTCTAAATACTTATCGTACTAATCACTATGGGGAATTCAATCACTACTTCAGTTAATCGTTTGACATCAACTGCAGTAATAATTAAATTCTTTGGTTCTCAAAAAAGGTCAGTATTTTAAGTAAAATACCTGGTACTGTATCATATTATATGTATCGTCTTTAATAAATTAATAAATTAATGTCAATATATATATATATATATATATATATATATATATATATATATATATATATATATATATATATTGTAAAATCTCCTAAATTTTCTTAACTAATAATATAACCTCGGAAGCTCACTTCATACTGTTGGGATACTTCCTAAATAAAAAATAGATTGTTAACTAATAAACACAATTATAAGAATATTGATATATTAAACACCCGCAAAGGCTAGTAGCTGCGCCCTACTAGTAGGGATTAACAACCCCCCGGTTTCCTGAGTTCAATATACAGCGCACTTACACACAACACAACAGTACATAATACATTTACACTAACAATAAGGACAATTACAGTACACACCTCAGGGTCACCTTTCCTGAGAAGACTCATTGCCGGGAGTATAGCGGGCAACTCGTTGTCTCTGGGTAAGGGACCTCAATCTCTGGGCTACTCACCCGTATGGAGTATAAACGATTCATAGGAATAAATGCAGCCTCGGATTTGGACAGTTTTACAGGTATAGACAAGGCAGGGACAAGGAACTACGATTGGCTACTTGGAATGTAAGATCACTCACAGGAAAGGAAAAAGAGCTGATTGAAGAAAAGAAATCATTTAGAGTCGACTTAATAGGATTGTGTAAAGTTAGGAAAAGAGGAAATGGACACCTAGCATTGCCAGATGGATACAATCTGATATACTCCGGTGTCAGTGAGAGAGAAAGAGCAAAGGAAGGAGTTGCTTTTGTGATGGGAGACGAATTATACATGAGAATCGAGTCATGGGAAGCAGTCTCACCAAGAATAATCACAATAGACATAGAATTATCAGTCGGCAAAGTCACAGTGATACAAGTGTATGCTCAAGTTGAGGATGCAGCAGTCTTTAACAAGGACCAGTTCTATGAAGATTTGCAAAGGACAGTAGATAATGCAAGAACCAAAAACAGAATGATACTGATCTGCGGAGATTTGAATGCTAGAACAGGAAATGATAAAGAAAATGCGCATGGAGCAATACGACCCTGGGGAGGTGAAAACTTACAAAATAGTAATGGCCAACGACTCAAAGAATTCTGTATAGAAAATAATTTGCTTATAGGAAACTCGTGGTTTAATCATAAAACAATACATAAGATCACTTTCGAGAATAGAGGAGCACAGGGTATGAGAAGAAGTGTCATTGACTATTTCATCATGGAACGAGATCTCAGGAGGTACATCACAGATATTGAAGTCATAAGGGGTGCAGAACTTAATACAGACCACATACTACTAGTCGCTGATACTAAAGTTATCAAGCCAAGGATGAGGACTAGCAAAGTATTTAATATAATCGATGTTAAAATGTTAAAACTTGAAACCAAACAAGAAGAGTACAGAACAATGCTGGAGAGCCGCCTTCAGTTAATAAACGGAGATAGTGAATTGGATACTCTTTGGAAAGAAATTAAAAATTGCATTATCGATTCAGTAGATTGCACATTCGCTATTGTAACATTTTTTCCTTTCCTAAATTTCTTTCCAATATTCTGATATTTCTAAATGATCTGGACAGACATTTTTTTTAGCATTCTCTTTAGGTTTTATTTTTAAACATTTTTCTCTAGTACCAAATATATGATTTTGTCTTCTTCTATTTTGAGCTTCAGTATACCTCCTGATCCTGTTTGCGTACACTGCTAACTTCTGTTTAAGGATTTCCATATAAACACCAAGGGTTTGGTTTAACATATTGCTTGCTACATCTCCAATGTTGAGTACTATAATTTCATCAATTTTCTTCCGTAATTTTGAAGAAGCATTCTGAGGGTTTCGAAGATAGTTAGTGATGATTCCAATTTTACAGCGTAAACCCTCAATCTTTTTCTTGATTCTCCTTTTCCAAGGAGGATCTTCGCATTTATTAACTTTATCACAATGCTCTTTTTCTTTTATTTATCCTAGCTCCATTGTTACTGTTCGAGCTCCCACGTATACCCAATGGTATATCTCTTCCATAGTTATACCATCTGACATACGCTCAGCAACTATTTCATTGATGGCTCTAACAGTGTAGGTATTGTGGGTCTGCTATTTAAGGGCATTCCATCATAAAGAATATACTCTTTTAACATTTTGCTACGTAATTCTGTGCTTTGTGGAGTTTTTTGATTGTTCATAAAAGTCGTGTCAAACTGCGTATTTGCACAAGCCGGTTCTATATTTTCCACTTGTTCTATTTCTCTTTGCGAATCCTGGTCCAGTATATTGCCTACTTCCGTTTTGATTGCCATAATTTCTGACTCTGATAAAAACTTTCGTTCCAATATTTGCTTTACCTGGTCAGCGATTCTTTGGGATGAAACCGCCATTTGCGGGTATTGTTCATTCTAGTAATGGTTGATTCTACTGCGGTATCCAGTTTTTTCTTTTTCTAAGGTTTTAGCCAATAAGTAAGCTATAATTGCAGCAATATTCATATTGCGAACCCACTTCATCCTTCGTTGCCTACCTACTTGGTCAATGATTCTCTTCCTCGAGCGGGAGACTCTACAGTATCCAAGCACGGTTCAGAGTTTAATGTTGAGAATCCTATGACAGCTGGTCTTACGGGAACATACGACACCGAGGCACTGCTCGCACCATATGCAGATGTCGAAGGCTGAATATCCAATCCCTCCGAAGCAGCCCTTACTTCGGATCCGTCCGAGGCTATTTGTTTCCTATTTCGCACCATTTTGATGGGTCGATGCATTTTATACCTGCTGCCAAGTCATCCTAGGGGAGGTAGCCCTAGGGTGTGTACTGTATGTGTCCTTAGTGTTAGTGTAAATGATTTAGTGGACTGTTGTGTGTGTATTTGTAGATGATATACTTTAATCAGGAAACTGGGGAATCGTAAAACCCCAGCAACTGCACCTATCAGTTGCCCCTTGCGGGTTTATTGTTATTATTATTATTATTTCCATTCTTTATTCTCGCTTTACGGGGTAAGTTTCTGAGGTGGGAGACCAGAAGTCCAGCCACCTTCATATTAATATCTATTATTCTATTATTTTTTAGACATTTAAAAGTTTTCGAACAGTACGTGCTGTGTCTAAGAGAACTGAGTGTTGAGCCTCTTTCAGCTCTTCAAGAGGTAATTTTAATCCGATCATGCCTGCCACTGTTGTCTTTGGTATCAATCCATTGGAGGATATTATAATTTGAGTGGTGATGACGTTCCCCAAATGATATAATTTCTTCAGTTCGATTGCCAGTTCTTGGTATTTTCTCCGTTTTTCTCAAACAGTGGAGCTTATATTATTATCATTGGGGATCCCGACATCAATAAACTATTATTACATTAAAATAGTTAAAACAAAAATATATGTAGATTATATTAAAATGTTTATTGTTCATGATTATACAAGTTAATATTCTATAGATGGGGAGTGCTGCTCCAAAATGTAAACCCTATTATTTATAAATAATGACATATATGAAGCAGTAATGGAGGCTATTTAAAATTGTCAAATGACCCTAGATATTAATTTTTACATTTATTAATGTATCAGGTATAATTTTAAGTTTATATTATTTCAGGTCAATTTTATTTATCAGTTTTTAAGAAGAAAGTTACTTCATTGTTCTCAATTTTTGTATGATGAACATATAAATTCTCGTCTTACCAAAGATTTAAAATATTTTAACCAGCAAAAGATTCTGAAAAAATCCTTATATCCTTATGAAAGAGCTGAGAAATTCAATAAAGGTATAAGTCGACTAAAAATTTCATCAGAGGGTTTATCTTATTTAGACCAATATCGCATTTTGATTTCACAAATAGGTAATGAGTATGAAATTTATTTTTATAGAAATAGTTCTTCCTATTTTTTGAAATTTTATATTCTTGTTACTCAGTTTTACATATTTCTTATTTCTTTTTTCTAGCCACCAGGTAGTTACAAAAGTCCTTGTGTACAAATCATTACTGATTGTTAAATCTGATAATAACTCCTTGTTTGTTTATTTGGTCTTTATAATTTTTATAATAACTTTAATATTTTTATTAAACAAGTTATCCTGTATTTGTTATACCTGTATTGATATACCAAAATGATTAAAGAAAATAATTTTATTATTATTTTCTTATGATATAATTAAGAGAAGCTCTTTTATTTATTTTTCTGTGGATTGTGTAATTATTGTAACTTGATAAAATATTTATCATATTTATGTATGAGATCCATGAAATTTGTAAAAATCTAACTGTCACAAAATTTTTTTTGAAAATGGCGTACGAGGACAATACTCTTTCAGTCTCTTTCTCTATTATGTCTGCAATATGATACTCAGATTTGATACAAAGGAGGAACAGCAAACAAGGAGGAATAAAAAAAGGAAGGAGGAACAACCTTTACTGTGATGGCAGGAAGAACTGCAATGGAAAGGAATGACCATTAATGGCTCTAAGATTAAAAGTACTGATCCTTCTCCGGAATGGAGAGGAGACTGTAGAGATCTACTGGAAAGGTCAAGTTTTTCAAGTGGTTGAGAACTTAAAATACTTGGAAACAAACATAAACAATTAGAGCATAATCGACTGGGAAATAGCTAATAGAATTGCTAAAGCCAACCAAGTCTATTATAGCCCAAGTAACAGCATTGTTGGCCATTGTGATGCAGAGCAGGAGAGTGAGCTACACATCTACAAGTCAGCATACCTCCCAGCTATTTCTTACGAAGGCGAGAGCTTTATAGCTCTTGGGTAATGCTTTATAGGCTGAGTTACTGCTGCTAAAATGAACTACTTGTACTGGGTTGAAAGAAGAACTAGAGACCTCATATTGAATTTTATTTCATTTAACATTTCCCTAATACTATTGCTTTATTGTAGGCAACATCAATTATTTTAATATTTTTTTTTTTTATTCCTGACAAGTGGCAAGTGCCCCTGAAGATCGGTTGGCGACCCAATGGCGCTTCTCCAGGTCGATGGCCCGATAGAGGTGATTGCCCCGGTTGCTCCACCCTAAGGGCGACACTGTAAGACATACCCACGAGCAGGAGTCCATGCAAAATTTCAAAAGTGGAAGAAGTAAGCATATTGTCCCACACTGCTGACAGCCTCTTTCCTTGTTATAGTGTTTTTTTTTTTTTTTAAAGGACTGTCCTTGATTTAGGTAGCTTCCCACCTCTATTCTAAGAGAGTGGTTTTATTACCAATGCTGCCTGTAGGGATTTTGAAAACTTTAAAAAAATAATGAAATACATATTGATTAATAACATTCAAGTTACTAAAATGATCTTGTACACAAAAACTTTTGTATCATACTATTCATAATTAATTATATTAGAATTAATGTTGTATTCTAAAAATGTTTTTTATTTATCACTTCATTTTACTGTCATAGTTACAATTATAGTATTTCAAAAGTATCTCAAGTTCATGGGAACTAAATTAATATACATTAGATGTTTTCAACAGTAAGGTAAACCATAGATAACTATAAATATTCTTGTATTGAGATGTAAGAAGCTACCTTGGAGTAGACTGTGATTCGGATCACTCTTTGATTAGAATTAAACTATGTCAGAGATTGGAACGAATTCACACAACAGGGGATAGAGTGGAAAGAAGAAGATATGAAATCTGTAATTTGAAAAATCCTGAAGTAAAAACCAAATTCAGGGTGGCGACCGACCTGGAAAACATGGAAAAGTTTTTTGAGTTCCAAAATATTTTTTTCAAATTGGAATTAATATACAGTGGATGTTGTTTTATAACGACCTTAAGGGACCTGGTAAACTTCCTTTTTATAACGTATAATTGTTATAACGACGACGCACAATGATTCAGAAGTGGAAAAAGCCCTTAAAATGAATGTGTTCTAATCACACTTTTTGTACTATATTATCTCTCCTTAACATCCCTAGAACCTAGTTCAATAACTATTTTCTCGAGTTTCCCCCTAAAAACGCAAATTAATGAGCAACTTTCAGTGGTTTTGCAAACAATGAACAGTATTTACTGATATTTTGAATACATATTTTCAGGTCTTGATAAGAGAGAAGTTATTGATTTTGTCTTTGAAATGTCTAACTTATAGACAAATGGTACAATCTTACAGTTCATTAGTTTTCATTGCTATAACTATGTAAAAATCTTAGCATAAAGTAAGTATAACCGAAAATTAACTACTAGCTCCACGCTGGGACTTATTCCATTCGATAGTAAATTTCAAAACGTAAATTCAATAGTTACAGAATGAACTTGATCCGTAACAAATAATAATATTAATTGTTTAGGCAACTTTTACAATTATGGCAAAATAACTCACACGAGTCTCAATAAGCAACATTCTAAATTTTATGGTAACATTCTAGTTTTTAAGCAGTGGACTGTATCTTAAGGGATTGGTAGGTTAATGATAGTGCAAAAAAATAGCTTACCGTCTATGTGCCAGCCTACATCTTTTTTACCTTGGAAGGCCCTCCGCTGCTATCGGTCCTTCCTGGTCGAATACTGGTCAGGTAGTGGCTGTGAGGCTTCTAAACTCTCTCAAAGCTTAAGTCTTATCTCTTATCTTTTAGATCTGCCCCACCACTCGCTGTAACGTGGGAAATTTAACTGAAAACTCCTCTTTGGCACAACCATTAATATTAATTATCTTTTATTGTATTGAGAGTTCTCATCATTCAAAGTATAAAAGAACAAAGCTATCCCTTGATAGCCAGGTCCAGCTATCCCTTATAGCTTAGAAATAGTTATCTAGAATGTACCAACTGGACACAAGACCCATTATCAAGACTTAGGGAACAATAGCAGATTTAAGCAAAAGGTCTCTTTCTCACAGACTTCAAATCAATTCTAAAGGATAAGGATATCAATTCTTAATAGTTAATAACTTCTTTCACACACTTCCTTTGCTGTCCTCTACCGACTTCGCTTCACCCCCTTGCTATTCTTGGGTATATAAACCCCACGATCCTTTGGACTAATCACTCTTGCAGTTACATTCTTGAAGTCACACTCTTGTAGGAGACCTAGAGTGAACTCTTGTAGTCAACCCATATATCCATAGTATATTTCAGTATGTTAGATGCCATTTGTAACAGACATTATGAATTAAAATATTACTAATAAAGTCTTCACTGCCTCCGATTTGTTAACTAATGAAAAAAAATTCTTGCTGATATTCTCTTATTTAAAGGTACAAGTGATTTTCTGTGTGAACATTTCATGTAAAGTTGAGAAATTGTTATCTGAGAAATTCAATCAATCATCTTTACACTTAATTACACTTTATTACACTTAATTGACATTATTTATGTACTTTTTTCTTGACAGTTAATACTTTAACCACATTCATACGAATAAGAGAAGATCTATTACAGACAAAAGCAGTCATTATTAGACTTACTCGAGTGGAACATTGTAAGTTATCTGAAATTTTTCACAAAATGTTATGTTAGATTTTGATGAGCTAGAAATCTTTTCTAATGCAATTTCATAGACAAAAAAGACCTTCATTCTGTAACAAATAGAAATCTTTCATGATTTAATCCTTCAAAACACTGTCTGTTTTACAATTTGAACGATTAAAAAATTTTAAATTTTCCAGCAATTCTGTCTAAGTGGTTTAGTGTGTATCAAATTCAAAAATACTTTATCAGTAAAATTTTATTTTCTTAGACTAAAAGGTAATTTATTTAGTATTTGTTTTAAATTTTGGTTACTCTTTCAGTAAAATGTTTTATCTTAATTTTTACAGTTTGAAATAGGTTCTCAAATCTTATAAGTGTTTGCTTTTTAAAGTTATTGTGGAAGATTAAACCTTCCACTATCCTTCCACAATAACTTTAGTCCTCAACCTGAATTTTATGGAAATTTATTAGGCTTAAAAAAAATAACAAAATAAATATGGGAATAATAAAGGTTATACCACAATTCTTAAAAGAGCTTAAACCTTTTTTATTTTATTTTTTCGTAATAATAACTTTCAGCTGCTAATTAGGTGAAAATATCATAAAACACAACAATGTTAACAATTTTTAAGTTAAGATACTCTTGACGGGTAATATCGTTTTTAATAAAATAATATTTATGCTTGAACCTTTAATTCTATATTATGTAATCTTTATAAATCTATATATTTAAACATTTATTAAGTCAGTTTTTATTTCAATCTTCCTAATCTTCAAAATTTTTGTCCAATAAAATTGACTTGAATCATCAAATTAATTTTTATTCAGAATTTATCAGAAGTTAAAAAAAACCAGTACCACTACAACCCATGAAGGGTCTGGGGTTCAGTACTATTTAGGGAAAGCACTGTTTCTAGGTCAACGGTTGTGCAAGGAGGTGATTTGACCGAGATCACGCTCAACCGCCAGGTTTTCCCCCTTAACCAATTACTTAATTAAGGGTACCCACTTTATAGAGGCTGGGTGTGCCCCAGGAGGGACTCCTGACCCAAGGTCGCCCCCACGGCCAATGAAACAGATAAATAAATTTTCTGCCATGAGCCGGGGTTCGAACTCGGGGACCTTTGTATTGGAAGCTCAGTGCCCTACCACTGAGCTACCCCGCTCCATTATCAGAAGTTAAAACATAATATTCTTAAACTAACAAAAACGTGTAAAGTTGTCGATTTACTTTTTATTTCATTCGATTTGGAATAATAAAATACACATTAAATGACCCCTATATGAGTTTTAAAGTCGTATGTGTAAGGTGGGCGAAGTTTTTTTTCCGAAAATAAGGTGTTTTGCACCACTGTACGATGGTCGCTATATCTATCCACCTGTGACTGTCCATAACTGCCCTGACCATTATATTGGAATTAAACAAGGGCAATGAACACAATGGAGTTAAAACGGTGTTTTTTAAAAAGGAAAACAAACTAATAATATTTATTATCTATGTATACATCTATGGACATATTTATTTTTTAAATAAGGTAATTCTGTCTCCAGGCGAACACCCATTAGAACAATAGTCATTCTTATAAGTCTATTATCTATCCTCGCGAAATACTAGTTTAAGATTCACCTGGAGGATCGCAAATTGATTCTAAATATTCTTTAGTATTTTCGAGTAAAATCTGACTTAACGGTGATGTATACTTGTAGTTCCCGACCATGTATATTATAATGTTGACTGTTTTGAAGAAAAGTCTGTTTTCGTCGGTTTTTCACCAAAAACTCACACAAATTCCTTGAGACATGTGTTTGTGGGTCATTCCTTGGCAAGTCATCCAGAAAAAGTTCAATTTGTGACCCACCTCCCTCAGATCTTAATGAAAATTCGTAAATATTAATTGAATATACATGTAAGTAAAAATACCAACTTTTAGCCAATAATAAGGATTAGTTTAAGAATTATGGGCATATTTAATAAACATGTTTGGTTTTCATTTGTAAAACCAATATATATTGACCAAGAACTTTCAAAATTTATTCATTCGTCATAAATTGAATACAGAATCTGCTGATACCATAAGTTTTAGCATTATTATTTTTCTTCATGGTTAAAAAAATTCTTAAACATACATTTCCAAAATTGTCATAACGTATCTAAAACCTCTCTCCAAATACCCAATACAACTATATATAAATGCACTAGCGGATCCATGATTTAATTTTGGGGGGGGCTTCAGCCCGAAACCTTTTTTTTTCATAAAAATAACGATAATTACTTTGGAAAAACAAAAAGAAACTAGCTACCTATATGAAATGGTGTTTAATTTACTCCTTAAGTACTTTTAAATGTAATAACACGAACAATAATACTTTAAGAGGTATTTTTTAATTTTTTTCCCCATAAAACATGGTTATATTTATCCATTTTGAGGGGGGGGGCTTCAGCCCGAAAGCCCCACAAGCTTGGTGGCACAAGAACCCCCTTCCCCAGTCCCAAGATATTTAAATTACTCTTCTTTTTTTTAAAAATGAGCAAGCTAAAGTAGAATTTGAAAAATCATAGGCCATATACAATTACACTTGCTGCAGTCTGTTCCACGTTTTCTCCTTGTCACTTAATATGAAACTTTTCATTCCGAAAATTCATAAATCCACCAAAATATTCCCCACAAAAATTAAAAAATCCGCCAAAATATGCTCCCTCAAAACTTGTGATGTTTTGTTGTGCCACCAAACCTCCTTCTGTGCACTTTGTTTACAAGTAATAATTGCCATAATCTCTCTCCGAATACAACCATATATTATTATTCCTGAAACTGTATTATTCTTTAAGCTTCTTAATCTTATTGCTTTAGGTTGCTTATTTTTTTCACTGTAAAATTTATTATAGAGTACTTTTAGTTCATATCCGAACAGTATATTGTTTCATCATAACCGTAGAAGGTATGGCATGTAAAAGTGAGTATTATATTATATTCATTATATTATAGGAGCTATTATATTATATTCATAGAATAAAACAAACGATGTTAACTTGACCAGAGCCAGCTGTGGTAAGATTAACATATGACTAAAGGAATTATATTATAGAAATGAAATAGGATTGTTGTTAATACTTGTCATTCCATGCGATTACTGGTGAAAATCACTCCAGTATCTAATTTTAGTATATTTTGACCTCTACCTCTAAACACCTAAGGAGTTATTCACTCTCAAATTTAGTAAATACAAACATAATTTTATTGATTATATCAACACTACTATAGGTATACATTATTTTATTTATTTATATTATATAGTTGTATTGAGGTATTTGGAAAGAGATTTTAGCTACCGGTATTTTTTGATATTGACTAGCACACCATTTCCGCATCAGGCAAAAACTTATTTGATTTATATTATAATGAATCTCTTTTTCACTTGAAATTCCGCAAATATTATTTCATAATATGATAGAAAATTGTATGCTCTTTTCAGTGACATATAGTTATATTAGGATATTTGGAGAGAATTTTAAGTAATTTTTACTTGTAACCGGTAAATTAAAATTTACTGTATTGGATTTAAAGTTTAATAAAACTCTCCAAAATCAAAAGCCCACTAGTACTATTTTTGCATTTTATGCTGTTGTCATTTATATATAGTTATATTGGGGTATTTGGAGAGAGATTTTAGCTACAGGTAGTTTTAGATATTTTTATGACAACTTTGAAAATTTATGTTTAAGAATTTTTTATACACGAAGAAAAGTTACAATAACTGTAGCTGAAATCTCTCCCCGAATACTCCAATACAACCATATATTAATGAAAACAGGATGAAAGTTATATTACAATTTATATTAAAACTTAAGGTATCAACGTATTCTGTATTAAATTTATGACTAATGAATAAATTTTTAAAGCTCTTGGTAAATAAATATTAGTTTTACAAGTGAAAACCAAACAGGTACATGCTGGTTTTGAGCCCAAAATGTCTTCCCAAATGCCCATAATTCTGAAACTAATCCCAAGATTGGCTAAAATTTGGTATTTTTACTCAAGTGTATATTTACTTAATATTGGCAAATTATCATTGAGATCTGAGAGGGATGGGTCATGGGCCCTGGATGATTTGGCATGGAATGACACTTGTGTTTTTTTCCTTGATATTTGTCCCGGATTCTTTTGTTCAGGTTTCATGATATAATGGTTTAATAGAGGGCCATCAGCCCTCTGCCCCCCAATTAAGGTGGATGAGCTGCCCCCTAGAGCGCCCTGATACCCCTGGGGGATTGTAGTATGCTGTTTACAGTGTAGATGTGTTAGCGTCCGAGTACTGTTCCTCCAACCTGATGGACCAGTGGTTATATGTGGTACTATTATTGGGTGATGGGGTCACCAACTCCCTATGCTTACAAAATGCCAATCAATAAGAAGTATACCTTGTTATCTTCAGGCAATAATTTATGTTTACTGTGGACCAACAAGGTTCTAAAACAAAAATATAAATGAGGTTTTTCGAAATTTTAAATTTACCTTTTAATTTCCAAACCCAAAAAAACCAATGTAAACCGTTTTCTTTTAGCAAATTTTCTTGATTTATTACTTCTAAGCATGTAAAAGTAAATTACCTCTTAAAAATTAAAATAATTAATTTTTTTTTTCATATTTTTTTAATAATTCACTTCATTTGCAAATAAGATATATATATATATAATATATAATTATATATATGTTCGGGGGGGGAGGGGAGCTTCAACCCGAAAGATTTTTTTTTATAACGATAACTACTTTGGAAGAAAAAGAAAGAAACTATCTACCTATACGGGATGGCTTTTAAGTGATTTTTTAAGTCCTATTAAATGTAATTACACGAAAAATAATACTTTTTAAATATTTTTTTAATAAGACATGGTAATATTTTACCATTTTGTGGGGGGGGGGGAGGAGGCTTCAGCCCAAAAGCCCTCTCCACCCTCCGTAGATCCGCTTATATAGCAGTTATAGTCTTCAAAACACTTAAGTTACTGACTTAATTTTGAATTTAATAAACTAATAATATTTTTCCTAATTAAAGAGCTAGTAGAGTCATTATCATACTGTTACTGCTTTACATTCATCTACTGTTACTAATTTTTATTAGTAATAAACAAATGACAGTGATGTCATTTTTTATGGACCTATTACTTTTTTTAATCACCATAATTCTGTCTTTCTTCAACGTTAAATTTGTCCTTCTCTTTACCTTAATCTTCCAGTTCCATTGTTTAATTTTACTATGTGGTATTTTGATTCTATACACACATGTTCTGGGTGTTACTGATTTTTATTGTCGAACGCCTCGTACTGGACATGGTTTTATCTCTAAATACTAATGACTTTACCAATTTCTTTATATTATCCTGGTTCTTCTCTTCTAATTTCTTCCCAATAGTTTATTAATCATATTGTAAAATGGCTTTAGTTAAAATGTTTAAAACTTCAATTATAATTACACCATCTGTGATATTAAATGCAATAGATTCCCTTCTAAATTCATTGATCCAAGGTTGAAGTATCTTGTTTACCATAGTATTTGGACAATAAAAATGGTTGTTCAATTTCTGTTAAATTAACTTCATCACCTATCAAGGCACAATTCTCTAACTGTTTAACTCAATAAATAAAATAAAAAAGCCCATTAAATTATTATATGCATCCTTAGTGGCGTAAGTATGATTTTGAAGGCTTATAGCAACCAAGTTTTGAAGACCCTTATGCTTCTTCCTAAAGCATTCAAGATCTATATACCTGTTTGCTATATACAATTACTAATTATTAATTGTTTAATTATATATAATAAAATTAGAAATTTTATTGAAGAGAAGGATGGTTGAGGTGATCAGTCAAAATAAAATAGTAAAAATAAATAATTATAATTATTTTTACTATTTTATTTTGACTGATCACCCTAACCATCCTCTTCAATTATTCATTACAGTCAACCATCAACCCAAAATTAGAAATTTTAGTTTATTTTTATAATAATATGCTCAAAATACACTGAAAAATAAAAATATTATAATGTATTTTAATGTTATGAACTTGATTCTCAATATATTTTTAATTCTAGGCAATGCCCTTGGATATGTAAGAATGATTCATTCAGGTGGTCTACATCATTCTGTAGCATCAATGTCATATTTTCCATGCAATGATTATATTGCTATTTCTGAAAATAATAAAAGCAATATGACACATAATGCTATTGATAATTTTGAAGTAACTTTATTTAATGCACTTTATCATTTAAATGGAGAAACAGATGCTTTAAAAGTAAGTTGTTTGTTTAACTTTAAATTTATTTTAGTAAATGACAGTTGGGATGAAAATTAAACACACTACAAACTGTTTATTGTTCTGATGGTTCGAAATCAGATGATGCTACAGCTTGTTCGTATTACCCATAACTCCACACATAAAATAAAACTACATAAACTAAGCAGCATATACACAGTGGAACTTCACGCAATAGCCTCAGCCCTCAACTTCTGTATGTCTATAACTCCATCCTCGATAGTCTTAATAACCGACTCCTTGAGTTCATTAAAGAGTTTAAATGATATGTACTCAAAACATCCAGTTATTCTTAAAATACATAAATATCTTCACACTCTGGAAAATTTAGGAAAATCGGTTTGTTTTATATGGATTCCCAGTCACGTGGGTATATCCTATCCTGACCCCTCCAGAAATGAGTTTTCCTCTCAAAAAGGAAATATTGGATAGTTGGCAATCTATGTGGAACGAAAGCCCACCTAGCAAATTAAAAGTTATAAAAAAATCGGTGAAATCCTGGAGCACATCAAATCGCCCTAATAGTAGAGAGGAAGTGGCTGTGACCAGGTTAAGAATAGGACACACGAACCTAACCCATGTACATCTCATCACTAAGCAGCCACCACCAATTCGTCAGCACTGCAATAGCCTTCTCACTATCAATCATATTTTCCAAAAATGCACTTATTATACTTTGAGCCTAAATCAATTATCTCTAAAACCAGATATATCAGCAGTATTAAGCAACAATGAATCAGACATAAAAAAAGTGATAAAGTTTCTTAGAATACATAGGCTATTAAATAGAATATAAAAATAAATATAATTTTTATTTTATTGTTCTGTCTTTTTTATATTTATTTTGATATATTTTATTTTTCATATGTTTTTGAATATCTTTTTAATTTATTACTCTATATATTAATAATTATTAATTCTCCTTTAAAGAGTTTACAAATATAACCGACTCACAGGCGTTGATGACCCTAGGGTTTTACGCCTTAAAGCCTAAATAAACAAACAAACAACTGTTTATTGTTTAATATCTGCCAATTTTTCAGCTTACTTTGTGTGTCTTATTCAGGGCTATATAAAACAACTAAGGAACATAATGTATGCTATTTAGTTTTAACATATATGAGGCACTAGTTTGTTTTATTGAAGACCATGGGGTGTGACCATGAAGAATGAAGATGCTGATATTTGTAGCAAAGTTGAGGCTGGAAAAAAACAAAAAATGTTCACCTGCATCAGAAGGATTTTGACACTCTATCCTAACAATAAAATTTACTATAAAAAGCAAAAGATAGTTTCTTTATGGTTTTTGAAAAAATAATTTCTTCCTTCTGTTATAAATACTTTATTACTTATATAATCTGGTTACATATTCAAAATTTCGGGGTTCTGCCAAATTAAAGGCTCAAAGTGTCTTTCAAGATTGCATTATTAAATAGAAATTAAATTTTTGATTACCGAGGAACTTAAAACAGGAACTCAACCACCAGTTATGCTTTCAGTGTCGCGAAGACACAAAGGTAATTTGTTTGCCAAAAATATTGAAAATTTCCATAAAATCAATGTAATCTTTAATATACCATCATTTAATAAACTAAGAACTGATAATCCCTTTTAATAAGAAATTGAATAATTGTTAATGGAAATCTCTTAAAGGATTAAAAAATATTATAGCGAAATTAGTCAACAAAAAATCTCAATACTGATAGAATATGTACCATTTCTTTAAAAACAATCATAAAAAAAATTACTATTTCATTTAACCGAAATAATTAGTCATATATTAATGTTAGGTAATTTTTCTGAACTATGAAAAATGGTAAAAGTAATAAATATTCCAAAACCTGAAAAGAAAAACAGGTTACTTCCAAGTAGTACTCAAAAGTTTAAGTAAAATAACCAAAACTGTTGACAGATTGGAATGGCCAGTCAACTCTGTGACACCATATGCGTAGATTTGGCGGTTGACCCCCTCCCCCTCCCCAATAAAAGTAGAGAGGGGGCAAGAATATAATTTCACTCCCCCAATATTTCAAAGAACAAAAATAAAATCAAAATCAATAATAATTAATCTATATGAATGAATAAAATATGTAAACTAAAATCAATTAATAAAATTGAAAAAGTCTATCAGATGGCTAAGGTAAGGCCTAGAAGTAGTTACTCAAGCATTTTACCACTCCTTATGCCCCTATTATTGAAATTTTATATTCAAAGATTATTATATCTGTGGCACCTGTGAAAAGTGTGTTAAGCGCAATTTTGTATATTTATATGAGAATTACCAGAAAGCTAATTTCTCTCTCTTTATTTATGTCTAATTGGCTAAGTGATGTGGCTATTACAGAGATAAACATCCTTTGTGAATCATGGGTCGAAACTCGAAAATTGAACTTGCTCCTGTGAAAATTCTAAACTTTCAATTGCGTTTTTTCCATGAATATGATTTTCACACTTAAAACTCTATGCACAGGTGCCACCAAAATGTAGGAACATATTTTAAGATTCTATGATTCATTCATGAACACCCTTCCATTTTTACATGAAGAGTTAACACATTTTCCACAGCAAATTTCAATCATCAGAGAATTAAGTTCCTCTCACTGCCTCAAATCTTTAAAATAAAGATAAAAATATGTAATATATTCAATTGTTTTGTTTACATATTTTCAAATATATCCTAGGTAAAAAAAAATTAATATATAAAGGTATACATAAATTTATTTTATTATATAGTATTATATTGTTCGTTTTACATTAACTATGTTAATTATCACTCATAATTTGTATACATAATATAAACATCCGATACTTTTTTGGGGATCCAACAACCCCCACCCCAACCAAAATAGAAAGTCTGCATCTATGTTTTATGCCATACAAACCTGAGGGTTTAGACGGCATCTTTCTGGCATTACTTCAAAGAGGCTTCTTACTGAAATGGTACACACACAAGCGGACAAAACACATACTCCTAACATGACAAAACTCAACTTTATAACATTAAAAATATTGATAAACAAGCAGCAACAAACTTCCCACAGCAATTATTGAATAATAATTTATAAGATATAAAACATGGGACTGTGTGCTTAGTTTTATCTTGTTTATAAAGTTTAATGTCAGTATATAGTTTTTTATGATATTTATTCATTTTTATAACGTATGTAGGTTTTTTTGTTTTACTTTTCCTACTGTACAAAATATATTTCAGCATAAAAAATAGCAATCATATGACTTTATTATAACATGTGTAAAGTATTGTTGCCATAAGCATGTAACCATTATTATGACTTATTGTGTTGTGTATATATATATATATATATATACAAGAGTTAATGTTAGTTTGTCTGAGTTTTTTTATCTGATTGTCAGTAACCCACACCTGAGATAAATAAATATATTAATACTCTTATAATTTTGTTTATTATGTAATAACCTTTTATTTATTTAGGAAGTGTCCCAACAGTAAAAAGTAAACAGTAAAAAGTGACCTTCTGAGGTTATATTGTTATTAGTAGCCACCACCTATCAAGCTGGTGTATTATTAGCTTATTTGCTGGTCTATCTCTGTTGATCATTTATTGAGGTTATTGTGAAGCTGAGATATTTGAATCTGTCTACTTTCGGGAATGACTTCGAGTCAACGCAGATCATGTTATTAGGGTGGATGTTTCGGCAAACTATCATGTATTTTGTTTATATATATATATATATATATATATATATATATATATATATATGTGTGTATATATGCAGATATATTGTAACATATCTCTTATATTTTACAAATAACAATAATATAACCTCAGAAGGTCACTTTTTACTGTTGGAATACTTCCTAAATAAATAAAAGGTTATTAAATAACAAGCAAAATTATAAGAGTATTAATATATTTATTTATCTCAGGTGTGGGTTACTGACAATCAGATAAAAACACTCAGTCAAACTAACATTAACTACACTAAACACTGTTTGATTTTAAAATACAGTCTAGTATTAATTGGCAAGCTAACCTTTTTTTCTATAGATAATGTTCCTTCCTTTGTTGCACTAAATTCATTTGTCTTCAAATGCTTTATAATGTTCTGCCAAACACAACTTCCAAAATGGTGACACTATTACTGGGTTTTACCCACTGGAGTCAGGATCCCATCTCCTACCCTCTTTTCACTGTAGCCAAACACCAACTGCTTCCCAAAACAAAAACCTTTGTCGCTCTCCTCTTTGAGATTTTCCTTCTTAGGAAACTTCAGAGCAGCCATTTTCTTTTCCCTGCACTAGTAGAACTAGATTAGCTTGCCTTTTAATTTTAATTGTTCAACATTAATTTATTAAACCCTTTTTACTCACTTTCAATAAAGGTATACATTACAACATATATATGTGTAAAAAAAACTAATATTTGATTTGATGCTATATACCTCGTACCCTTACTATCATCACACAACCTGATCCAAATTTCGTACGACCTACCCGTGAAATTTACCGTCATTTACCCCCAAAATAGTTTCATATCACAATTTAAATCTCCTTTCCTGTGAATCTCTTCAATCTGACCTTGATTCTGTCCAATGGGATATCATATTTTCCTATAACTCGATTGACACTATGGTATCCATACTTACCTCAAACCTACAATCCATATTAGACATCCATGCTTCTCTGAAAACTAGAACCTTATGTCGTCCCACTGTTCCTTGGCTGACTCCTGAAATAAAGGTAATTATAAAGAGAAGGAATGCAGCAAGGGGCAAATACCGTCAAACCCGTTTGCCTGTTGGCTATGCATCTTTCAAACAACTCGGCAATGGAACCCAATCCACAATCCGATTTGCTAAATCCAACTACTCCCACAATGCCGTTTCCAATGCTCCCCATTTCAAATCAAAATGGAAAATACTGCGAAACTAGTGTTGCCCAAATGCAAGACCAACGCAAGACTTGGCTAGTCTTGGTCTTGGTCTTGCAGTGTTCACAC